TAAATAATTAAACAATTTAACACTTACAAATTTAAAACGATATTTCCATTCAAAACCAAACGATTTTCTTCTATGGCAGCAATGCGTCGTGTACCAGCTAGTATTGCAAAAGTGCATAAGTTTTGAAGTTTTTGAAGGGGATAGTATCTCGGAGTCCGCGCAGTTTAGAGTTCTTATGAATAGCCATTTCCTTGCCTTACGCAATAATGACGCAACTGTTCCGTTCTTTCTTTGGAGACGACCGACGACCATTTGGTCAACTACGTACTTAGTGGTTATAATATACTCTAGGAACTGCGAGCTCGTTCGTCATTCTAATGTTCAATTACACTAGACATCAATAGAATAAAAATTAGTTGTTATGTTTAATTTTGGCAGTCTTTTCTATACGTTAAAAGTAAACCCGTGTTGGACATGAACCCGGCTAAGGGAAATTCCTTTCGCCGCATGGACCTCTAAAATACAGACTTGTTCTCAACATACTTGGTCGGCAGGTTGCTTCAGTTAGCAGCAAACCACACCTTTGGGGTTTGGGGCTGGTTCCGTCATCAGTTTTTGCGTTTACAGCGTATCAAAAATTCCCTGCTGAAAATAGCCCCCCCCCCATAGATTATTAAATATACCCCATATTTGCCATAGTTGTTGCTACGGTTGGCAGGCAGATTTTCTTACTACTTATCTCATTATTTGTTTCCCTCCGTCGCCTCTTAAGACACACGGGATGATATGGGGGTAGTCGGAATTCTTACACTGCCTTCACACGATTCGGTCTGTGTGTTCGTAATTTGGTAATTACGAGATTATTATTGCGCTATCTATCGGAGGTCTCAAAACTTTTATGGGCAGTAATGAAAGGATTGGATGGATGGTACATATTACTGTAACTATCTATAAATTATATTATATTGTGTGTTAAGGTTTGAAAAATGCCTGCGTTCGTAATCATACAGTGCGATAATGCCAAAAGTAAGCATATAACCTAAAAACACTTTATAGGTATTAAACTTAATGAAACCTTTAAACGAGTCACAGACAGACCACGCATATACGATAATATTTTATCTGCGTGTAAAAACTTAATTATATAATATACGGTATGATACATTAGCTCGAAATCCTTCAAACCTATTAGACGTGTTTTTATGAGCAGATTGTTATGTACAAGGAGTTAGCGTATATTGCTTCTAGATTTACTAGACAGAAGAAAGAGGAAAAAGTGGTGGGGTGAGTGGGGGTTTTGGTTGGGGGTGGTGGGAGGAGAGAGTGTTGTGTTGTTGGGTTATGGGAAGGGAAGGGATGAGGAAAAAAGAGAAGGGGGGGGGGGGAGAGGGGGTTGTTTGAAAGGCGGGATCCCGGGGGGGTTGGGTGAGGGGGGTGGGGGTCTTGTTTCCCCCCGGGGTTATGTAGTATGTATGTATGTATTTACTACACTCGTCATAAAAGCATTCAGATTTTGACGCACGTGTTGCATTAGCCGTTACTAAAAGGCGAAGAATTTAGATAGAACATCAAATAAAGCTTAGAAAGACCAAAGCGAATTTAATCGCATTATATCAACGACCATTCTGTTATCTGCAGCTAAAATCCTATGCCATATTTGTATCTGCATATGTTATCTGCAGATATATTTATATAAGCAGATAATATTGTCACAATCTTTCGATATAGGTTAGTGCGCACAGTTATTTAAGGTTAAAATATAAATTGTCTGCGCTGCGTATATTAGGTTCACAAATTAATAAGAAGGTTAGGTCATTGAATTCCATAGAGAACGACATTGAAAGATATACGCTCAAATACAGATATCGAAGACAGATATCTTATCTTATCAGCGTATTGTGTGACTCGCTTTACAAAGAGATATCGCGTGATTTCTGAAACTCGATAATAGCGCCACCTACCGGGTCCAAATAAATATATCTGAGAACCATCCAAGTGAATCCATAAAAGTTTCATCAAAATCGGTCAAACCGTTTATGATGAGAAGGATAACGAACACAGGATTTTTAAGATATGGCCAGTTACTATAATCAAAGAACGCTGAAATGGTAATTTTTCGTCATTCATTGTGAGTTAGTAGATATTAGGTAGTCCTTCGGGTTCGCATGCAGTTTTAGATGGAAGCGGGGTTAATCTTCTACACTTTCACTTTCAGAACCAATTATCGAAAATGTATACATTTTTGCACAAATATTGGTTCAGGCTAATCTATGCAGTGTTCATTGTGATTAATGAATCTAATGTAATAATAATAACCATTTAATATTGAGGGAAACATCAAGGGGGTCTCGTTCGTCCATTTTCCAATTGGAAGGATTGGCAAGTTGTCAATAATAAGGAGGTCAAAGTGCAAAAAGTTATAGGATCCAATAATTTGAAATAAGTATTATGTAATGAAATTTAAACTCAGCTGTAAAAGCCAACGCTAATTGCAAACCGCGAAACAAAATTGCGGATCTGGATCATATTTTATATACAAAATAACGGGCGTATTTTTGGCACAACCAGTCGTGGTTCGTCAATTATGATCCCAGCATTTTTCTATAACAACCTAACTTCAAATCTTTTTTTGTATCTTCTTCAACTTCCATAGTTTAATACCTATGTAAAAACAAACGAGTGACAAATGAAAATCATTAGTTACCTTGTCTACCTACCTCCCTTTGTAGGTAAGTATAGTATTTTAAAAATAATTTTGTGTTAAATATCGTCGATGAAAGTTAACATTGCGTGCAGCATGCCTTAAGTAAACGGTTTTATGCTAATTATATCGATCGTATAATATAGAACATTTAAACTAGGTCTAATTATCACTGGTGATTTTAATGTTATAGGTCTGACTGTATGAGACCTTGATAGAATATAAATAAAAAATAAAACGAAATTGCTTTTCATTGCTTTTTTTTTAAATAAATAAAAAGCGAATATTAAATCTGAAGATTGTGGAATTAAAAACTGTCGACAAATATTTATTAAAGTAAAGGTTCCCGTAAGAATTTTACACATTATACATTTTATACGTATTACTTCAATGCAAACATTTACTTTTAGAATTATTAGTTACTTATAATTATATCTATAAAATTAATACAAAAAATAATTTAAAAGTATTACTCGACACACAGGGTCAGTTAAACTGATCAGTTGAACTGACGTACATCAAAAAACTGAGCACGCGAGTGTGAACGAAAGTTGAAATTTGAAGCCTATGAGTGGGGAACTCGTTTTGGCTTACATCCGTTTGAAATGATCAGTTTAACTGACGGTGTGTGTCGAGCATTACTTTTAAATTATTTTTAGTATTAATTTCGCCGGCCTTTACAACCGACGTAACTCAAACTTTTGGGTACAAGCCTCCTCTAAACAATAAAGCCGGTTTTAGAGCTCGACCGACCGTCGGTGCGTAACATCGGTCCTGTCGATACCCATAACCGATCGCCAGTTTGTAGCGTTACTGTACGTGTGCGCGTACTGTGTCGTGTATTGTTGTGCTACACAAGACTTCGATATATTATTTTTAAGCTATTGCATAGCTTCTATCGCGGGCCTAGAGCGCGGGGACCGAATCCAGAAATTCCGTAACGAAAAAAACCTCACGCTCCCCACTCCGACGGGCACGGAGGTGTGGCGTTGAAAGCCGTGCATCGTCTAACGTCGTTTCAGTTCGGCAGACTTCGGCACTCGGCAGACTTCGGCACGGTGTTTGTGTGCGTGCGACTAGACGTATGCGTGTACACTAGCTGCTAACTCAATGATAAAAATTCCTGAATAACCTACATGTATTGTAAGATATTAAAAATATTTTAAACAATATTAACTTCTCATTTATTCAATAAGAGAAAAAAAATTGTTTTCTTATCGGTCACCACGTTCAAAAAGTGTAACTTGATTTAATATCAAAGATGCATAAATAAAATAAATAAATAATTTTAATTGCATAAGTTGATAAAAAATGCTATGCAATAGATTTACCGCGGCAGTCACCGAGTGCCACACGTATTTTTTAAATTTTTCAAACAGGTCATGCTTCACCGTATAGCATATTGTTAGCAACACTTAAAATAGACATTAAAAATTTCACTGATGTCGGTGGGATCGAACTAGCTTTGTTTGTATACTATGATTATTGTTATGGATTAAACTAAACTGACGGCTATCACAAATTCCCTGAACTTATACCAACTTCTACATCGCCAAGTTTTCACCAGCCTAAGTCTAAACCGAAAAAAATGCCATGATAAACAAACACAAACGAGCACATAGTCCGTCTGGTAAGCCTAAAGACATCTACATCTATTCTTGATTAAAAATCTCAATTTGGATGCGTTTTTACCCCTGAGGACTAAGAAAGAGTACCTCGTTACCAGTAAACAAGGTACCTATCCGGTTCACGTCACTCGCCATACAAACAGAATACCAGGGTAAAATAGCAGCTTAATGCTGTGGTGTGGTGTTTCGTGTGGTAGGTATAAGAACCCGAGACCCTTTTTACTGGAAACGAGGCAGTCACAACGCATCTGCATTTTGATTCTTAATTGAAGATAAATATAGATGTCTATGGGCCACAGCATCTACTTACCATCAGGTGGACTGTGTGCTCGTTTGTAACCCGCATTCCATATAAAAAAACACAATAGGTTTATGCTGCTATTTACTTCGGTATTATGTACGAGTGAGTCATTCTTAACTAGCCATCATACTGCCTGACTCTACCACGTAAGTGATTTTTTTAGTAAACCAAACGAGTAGTCCATAATTTAATTATTATTTACGTGACACTCTTAAATTGAATAATAAAATTAAGGCGGCTATCCCATTCCAGTTATTCTTCTTACTAAACTCTTGTATTGCCCTAAAACTTTGATAAAAAGGTTAATTATAATGTCATTCAATACCAGAACCACTCAACCCTATAATGTTCTTTTGACAAGCTTTGGGTATAAAATTTAATCAAGCTAATTTACGAATAATCATTTACTGTATAAAATTTTAATTGAAAATTAACTTACTCTTATAACTTCGGGGCAAGCGTAGTGAGGGCTGCCACACGAGGTTTCTAGAAGCGAGCCAGCGGGTTGTAGGGACGCCATGCCGAAGTCGGCAATCTTGATATTATTCCGCTCGTCCAGCAGCAGGTTTTCAGGCTTGAGATCTCGATGGCTATAAAGTAAAGTTAAATAATATAAGAATTAATTAATGCCCCCAGTAGGGCACAGCAAAGAATTCTCTAATTTTCGTGAGGGTAAAGTTATTGCGCTGCCGAGTCGACAATCTTTTGATGATGTTTATGTTCTTCAATCCAAATTTTACCCGCACAAACTTTTTCAAATACCATCAAACTTTATCAACTGTAGGGGATGTCTCAAGTGCATGCCCTAACTTAGAGGAACTTCCTAACTTATCCGTCCCTGATGTAGATAAATAGGAAGAAAATTCTTCATTGCACAAGAAATATTACGTATACATTAACCACAACACACTTAGACCAGCAAACAAGTGGTAGTGTCGTTGCCTTTTTTGGGCTCTCGAAGTTGAATATGGACAGATCTTATGAGTATCGCTTGCCAACGGATGCATTCTTTCCCTATCTAACAGTGGACTTATTAAATTCTATTATTGCAAGTAACACTTTCTACATACCAAATGGAATGACTGTGACAAAAGTCCAGTGCTGATATGATTTGTCTGAAGAACCTTCTCGCTTCCTTAGGTGTGAGGCGGCCCTTCTTCACGAGGTAGTCGAAAAGCTCGCCACCGCTTACATGCTCTAGTACTAAATACCTGGGAACAAGAAAAAATTTACATAGTTAGAATTATGTACAATAAAATACCATTGCTGAACCCAGGAATTTTATTTCAAGGCAAGGCCAATAATTTTTTAGCTCCTAGTAACTGCCATCCATACTTTAATATTATAAATGCGAAGGTGTGTTTGTTTGTCCTTCTTTCACGTCGCAACAGAGCGTCAGCATGGCATGATTTTTATATGGGGATAGTTCGGTGGCTGTAGAGTGACATAGGTTACTTTTTTCCGCGGAAAAACATCTCATTCCCGTGGGAAAATAGAATATGTTGCAAAAGTTTGTCCTTCTTTCACGTCGCAACAGAGCGTCGGAATGGCATGAATTTTGGTATGGGGATAGTTCGGTGGCTGTAGAGTGACATAGGCTACTTTTTTCAGCGGAAAAACATATCATTCCCGTGGGAAAATCGAATATGTTGCAAAATTAAATTCAGCTAGGTGGCGCCACCGTGATTCTACAAGACGGACGACGGTACGATAGACGAACATAGAAGGTCAGAATATCTGGATTATTATGTCCTTTTACCAAAATTAAGATAAAAAATTTATGGATCTGTATTTTTCCACGCAGGACCGGGAAGAAAGCGATAAAAAACATAAAATACACCAGCTGATTTTCTTCAAGCGTTTTGGTGCATTGTAATTCACAGAATAGGCGTGAGATTGATGCTCTGCCTACCCGAAGGGTTACAGGCGTGATTATAAGTATGGAACAGAAATACTATCACCACCTGTCACGCTTTCACCCTTAACTATTACTTAACTGAAACAGTTAGGTTAGGTAGAAACAGTTCTTAGTAAGCCTTATTAATAAGCCTTAGTAATATTTATTGAACGGAAATGAATACAGTTCTTATATGTGGTTATGAATGAATCGGTATTAAAATAAGAAAAATTGTGCAAAATTATAAGAAAAATATTTTTGAGAGTTCTTATTAACTAACGTATACATAGTTTAAATTGATTCCGCTAGATGTCATTACTAGGTTTTTAAAACGCGGTAACGAAATGTTTCCTGACATGTACTTAACTCCCGCCGTTGAGCGGCGCGTCAACTTATAGTGCATACGGTACCTATACGCTCAAATTGTTTCCATTTCGTAGCTTATTCGACTACCTGCTTTCGGTATTTCGGTTGTTTGTTATTTGCTTTGTGATTTGGTTAAGGTTGAATGGATTTATATTGGCTTTCATTTTCGGATTTGTGTATTTTCTTGGATCGGTTTTGTTGATTTGGTTGCTATTTCTTTATACATATTTAGACTCTGGCTTTGATTTTGGATTTTGTTTATTTAAAATCGTGAATTGGTTTTCGTTGTTTTAGGTTGTTTAACAATATTTCATACATAATACATACATAAACACTCACGCCTGTCACCCAGAGAGGTAGGCAGAGACTACATACTTCCATTTGGCACGATCCTGACACACCTCTCTCGCCTCCTTCACCTCCATATACCTACGCATACATGCTCGTCGGTTAAGGGTACTCCTAATTTGGCCCGTTTTCAATAAATCGCCAATTTGGTCGATAAATTTTCGCCTAGGACGTCCCTTTCCGACTCTGCCATTCACTTCTGCAACATAAATTTTCTTTGTCACTCTTTCCTCATTCATTCTTTCCACATGACCAAACCACCGAAGCATTCCTTTCTTAATTCTGGTCACAACATCACCTTGCAAACCACACTCTTCTCTTATTACACAATTTCTTACCCTATCGTTCAGATTCAGTCCTAACATACTCCTTAACGACCGCATTTCTACTGCGTTGATTCTACTCTCGTGCTTCTTCTACTACTACTACAATATTTCAAAGGAATATGAATGGTATAGATAGTGTATACGGTACCTATACACTTACTTCTTTTTTCGTTGGTTATATTTATATTGACTACTGCTTTCGATTTCGGTTTTATGCGATTTATTTTGTGATTTGGTTTAAGTTGATTCGATTTTTTTTGGCTATCGTTTTCGGATTCGTGTTGTGTCTTCAATTGGTTTTGTTGTTTTGATTTTAAAAAAATATTTAAAAGGAATATTTATTCCTTTTAGATATTTTGGATTTGCTTTTAAAAAAATATTTGAAAGGAAATTTAATTCCTTTTAAGTATTTTAACGTTTTTTTTTATAAATAGGTTTTTTGTTACTTCATAATGCCTCGCAAACGTAATTCCAGCCTTTCAAGAGTATCTTCTCAAAGACAAGCGAAAAGATTAGCTCGATCGCTAGAATCTTTAGAAGATGCTGAACTGAGAAGGCAAAAACAAGCAGAGCGTCAGGCTGATTTTAGAGCATCTGAGACACCTTCTCAACGTCAGCAAAGGTCTCTTGAACAGACAGAGCGTCAGGCTGCTTTAAGAGCTTCGGAAACACCTTCTCAAAGTCAGCGAAGGCATCTTGAACAGGCAGAGCGTCAAGCTACTTTAAGAGCTACTGAAACACCTGATCAAAGTCAGCAAAGGCGTCTTGAACAGGCAGAGCGTCAATCTACTATAAGAGCTACTGAAACACCTGCTCAAAGTCAGCAAAGGCTATTCGAACAAGCGGAACGTCAGGCCTCCTTAAGAGCCGCGGAAACACCTGATGAAACTCAACACAGACTCATTGAGTAAGCTGATTGAGTAGATTGACTACTATAAGGGCATCTGAAACACCAGAACAGACACAGGCGCGAAGAGATGCAAATGCACCGCTCCAAGCTGAACGTCGACAAAATTTTCAAAGAAACAATTGGTCGGTTTTTAATGACGCAGCATTCAATTATGATCCGTTGATTGATTATAAAAATCACAGGTTAGTTTTTATCGGACTGATGGACAAGGCGTGTCGATTTTGCAGCGCTTTAAAATGGAAAGATGAGACCGCAGGCATGTGCTGTTCCAATTGCAAAGTGTCTCTTCAGTTACTTGGGGAACCAGAAGAACCTTTGAAAACTCTCTTTTTATATAATGCTAATGAGTCACGGCGCTTTTTAAAGAGGACCCGGAAATATAACTCATGCTTTCAAATGACGTCCTTCGGAGTTGACCGGGAAATAATAATGCCTGGATTTTCGCCTACATTTACGGTGCAAGGGCAAATTTATCATAGAATAGGTTCACTTTTTCCGGCTGAAGACGAACAGCATATATTTTTACAAGTATATTTTATGGGTGACGAAGAAATTGAGGTAGACCGTCGCTGCCAATTTATCCAGGGAGTTGAGAGAGACACAGTGTTCAAAATTCAAAGATTCTTGCATGAACGTAACATTTTAGTCAAAACATTTAAAACTGCTTTAGAAAAGCTACCTGAAGAGGATTATAAAGTCGTCATTCACGCAGATCGGACCCCACGAGGAAAGCATGAAAGGCGCTACAATGCACCTTTGATAAACGAAATAGCAGCCGTAATTAGTGGTGATCAATTTTCTTCACGAGACATTGTCTTGCAAGCACGTGATGATACGTTGCAACGGGTAGCCGATACACACAAGTTTTATGCCGCTCTGCAATACCCATTGATTTATTGCAAAGGACAAGATGGTTATCATTTTAAAATTCCACTCATTAACCCGGTCACAAAGGAGCCTACTCCGAACAAAAAACTATCATGGATTTTTATGCGTATCGCGAGAAAATGATTTTAACCTCTTAGCCCGGTGTAGATAATTATTTCATCAATATTTGGTAGACATGTATGTGAAGGTAGAAAGTGAACGTCTCCGTTATATATCTTTAAACCAAAAAAAGCTGCGCGTTGAGAATTATATACATTTACAAGATGCAGTTTCTACTGACGCCAGTGTAAACCCCAGAGATTTAGGTAAAATGGTAATTCTGTCCTTATCATTCGTTAACAGTCCCCGCTTCCTAGATGAGTACACACAAGACGCATTCGCCTATGTACGAACTTACGGAAGACCTGATCTTTTTGTTACTTTTACTTGCAATCCCACATGGAGAGAAATAACGCCGGGCCAAAAAAGTACTGACAGACACGATTTAGTTGCTAGAGTATTTAGATTAAAAGTACAAAAATTAATGTATGTAATTAACAAAGGGAAAATTTTCGGAGAGGTGCAGTGCTTCATGTATTCAATTGAATGGCAAAATAGAGGATTACCGCATGCTCACATTCTAATATGGCTTAAAGAGAAGTTGCGGCCCAGCCAAATAGACGACATAATAAGCGCCGAGATTCCGGATCCTGAGCCAGATAAAGAATTGTATGATACTGTTACGCGCTCAACGTCAAACACTAGCGCCATCTAGTGTCAGGAACGAGAGAGACGAACGGGGAGCTTTGCAGAAAATGACATCACAAATCTTTACTGACAGTGCCATTCAAAGAACTAAGTTTCTAGAAAATCTACACTCGAACACTCGTCGCTTTGCGCGCATTTACTTGAATATTCCGGATGCTTCATTGCTAATTTGTATATATAGGCGCTGCAAGATGCGATCGGGGCAGTATTGGATTTGGCGAGACAAGCGAAGCTTTGGAGCGGAATAAAGTGAATTAGTGCGTTTAATTATTAGTGTTTTAAGTTTTAATTTGTGTAAAGTAAATTAAAGTGTTAATTTAGGTAATTTTATCGGCAATTTTTTTGTCACGAACCTCAAGCTCGTAACACTTGGTGTCAGAAGTGGGATAAAATCATGCCAATTTTACCTAAGGAGGAAACGGAGGGTGTCCGTACCCGAAGTCAACGCCAGCAGGAGACGGACCAACGAAGATTTGGTGGTGCAACGCCGCAGACGTCGGAGGGCCAGCCACCGGCTGCAGGCCCGTCGGTAGCTCCTACATCTGCAGCACCTGACTTAGGTGCTCTGATGGTGATGCTGCAGAAGCACGCTCGCCGACAGGAGGAGCAGGCTCGCCGACAGGAGGAGCAGGCTCGCCGACAGGAGGAGCAGGCTCGCCGACAGGAGGAGCAGGCTCGCCGACAGGAGGAGCAGGCCCGTCAGTTGAAAGAGCAGCTGCAGAGCGGACA